ACTGTGTTTTCAAAGCAGGGAAAGTTCTTGAAATTGTACCACAGAATCTTATTTGATATTGACAGTGTCAAAGTACTCAAACTTAGGTAACACCTAAATGGGAATGGTGATTCATTGCTTTATATTTAGCAGGTTTCTACTTGAGCTGCTAACTATTTTACTATTTATTATTATAAAAGTGACTGAAATGTAAAGAACAGAAACTTATTAGGTAAGATAATGAAAAAAAAACCTTCCTGGGGTATACTCGCCAGCAGCTTGTGCATTATACTATTCAAAGTCAATAAACAAAAAATTAATAAATGCAGATAGATCTATACTGTTACGAGATTTAAGCTATTTAGAATAAACAAATTGCAGTTATTCTGGAAAAAGAAAAAAGTAAGTTAGATTTATTTCCTAATTTTTATGATGGTTACATGGTTGTTCAAATCAACCAACACCATATACAGTTAAAGTTGATAAAATATAAAGTTTTTTCAAAAAAACGTTTGATGATTAGATAGGGTTAGTAACTAGTAGTAATTAAAAAAATCATAATTTGTGTAAACAATGTTATCATTACCCCTTGAAGTTAGCTTTCTTGCAGAAATTGGATGTACCTTTAAAAAAACTTAAGTACAGGTTGAAACAGGAATTACCAGCCAATATTGTCATCATGACTCATTGTATTTATAACTTGGTTATAAATATAACCTTCCTATGCCTATTGAATCACTGCATTAAAAAACAAGCAAAAAAGTAAAGAAAACTTTTCAAAAAAGGAAGTAAATTTATAGTTGGCTAACATCAATCCTTCAAAAACAATGTAAACAAGATAGTAGGAATGGTACTTGCATCATCCCTACATATAGCACAGGTAAGAATTAACATATAGCGATATATATAACTATCCAATCACATTTGAGTTTAATTTATCCTGTTTTTGTCTGTTAACATTATAGTACTCTGTGTGCCTGTGCTATTTTGTAGGGACGATACAAATGCCATCTTTACTAACTTGTTTGCGTTGTTTTAAAGGATTGATATTATCCCCCCCCCACATTTACTTCCTTTTTCAAAAAGTTTTTTATTTACTTTTAACCAATAGAAAGCCAAAGTTTTAATCTATTAAGTGATGTATTATATTACGTAGTTTTCTGTACAGAGAATTGTCTATTCTACTTCCAGTTCAAACTTTATTCCCACAGAAAATACATCAAGGTGCTTAACTGAGTTTTAACTTCTCTTATTGCATAGTTAGAAAGCCAGAAAAATTATAATAGTTATAGGACATTGTCTGTTTTTATGTGTTATTAGTCTGTGAGTTTAAGTGCTGTATTTAATTAAACAAAAAATTATTTTAGTGTGGTAGTACCATTAGTATAAAAATAGTCGATAGTCGACAGCAAAAGAAAAAGACCCAAGTAAGTACTGTATTCCTTGTTTTTCATGTGTATTCTTTATTTCCTCGATAGTCGACAGCAAAAGAAAAAGACCCAAGTAAGTACTGTATTCCTTGTTTTTCATGTGTATTCTTTATTTACTATTATAAAAGTAACTAAAATGTAAAAATTAGAAACTTGTTAGGTTAGATAAGGTTAAATTTGGTAGTATAAATAATAACAATAATAAAAATCCTTCACAAGCGAGTAGCTTGTGTGTTACTTAATTTGATATGGTAATGTGAGCTACATTTTCATCAAGTAACTTACAATTTGTGTGGCAGGATTATAAGTTAGACATGGTTCAAAAGGCAATAAAACAATAAAATCAAGTATAAATAGATGTACACTGTTACAAGCATTAAGCTCTTTAGGATAAACAATTGTGGTTTCTTGTTACAATTTGCAGTAATTCCAAAAAAGGGTGACTTAGAATTATTTCCTATTTTTTTAAGGTGGTTATGTGGTTGGTGAAATTTACCAACCCTGTATAGAGTTGTAGTAAAGAAAATAACAGATAAAATATAAAGATTTTCTGAAAAACATACAACAAAAACATTTGATATTCATTTAAGAGGTTTTAGGGACTATGCAAATGTAATTTGAAACTCTTCAGATAAAGAAAAGTAGTTTTAATCTTTACATGAAAATCACCTTGCACTTGGAGTAGTCAACCCTCTGATACCATATAACAAGTAATAAAATATTTTTTTAAATAAAATAAGGATGATTTAGGAATGAGAATGCTAAAAAATACAGAAACAAGGTAGGGTTGAATACACAAAACCATACAAAAATCCCTACATGAATAGCAAAATCTTTCCAAAAAATACTTTTATCTACAACTAAATGTTGAATTTCTTTCAGTTACATGAATTCATGTTTGAATAAAATAATTTAAACTGAATAATACTATAAAGTATTTCAGTAGCTACTTATATAGGGATTTTTGTATGGTTTTGTGTATTCATCCCTATGTTGTTTCTGTACTTCTTGGTATTGCCATCCCTACATTATCTTATTTTTTTCTAAATTTTTTTATTACTTGTTTTTCTTTTTTTTTAACAATACCAATGTATATTAATGAATGGCACTTGCTATGAAGGCAGTAGTTTTAACCTGGCGTGATGAGTTGTCTTGATGGACATCATGTGTTGAAGTTAGTGAAACACTGTACTGCTTCTGCACTCCCCAAGTTAAAATGCAACATTTTGAAGTGTAAATCGTTGCTACAACTTCAAACGTTGGAGATGCCCTTCTGATGCCAGAATCAGAATAAGCAGCAACATATTTGGCTGTTACGTTACTCACCAGTTCTCTACTTTAGTGATATTTTTTGACTAAACTGATGGTCTTAATAGATTTTTAAAACCTCTAAAACCTAAGTTACATGTATATAAAAGTCTCTTAGATTGTTATAAGAGAGATTTGAGACTATAATGAGCAAGACTTAATATGAACTGGACATTGTTTTCTGGCCTATCCCTACATACTAAGCATACATACTGTACTTAGCAATTGTGGACAAAGTTTTATTATAAATACTTAAAAAATCTGATTTTTGTCTATAAAAGACTTTTAATGTTCACTGAAAGATTGCCAAATTTCATGAAGATACATAAGGTACTTTCAGAGTCATAGTATGTTTACCACCATGGTTACATGGTGGTTACAAGGTCATATAAAGTACATGAGCCTGTTGCGATAGGGTTTTACATGATCTTGAGAAAGAGCACTATTAATTATGTATTTTGAAACTAATAATGCTAACTGATACGATTATTCCTGACAGCATTTTAACTTTAAGTATAAGAAGGATTAACTCAAGTTTACAAATTGATTTACAATCATTAAAGTAATGGCTTACTTTATTTTTATTGTAGGTGATACTCTACATATAAAACCTAGAGAAAATGAGGTATTCATTGGTAATTAAGAATCATTTGGCAGGAACCTTAACAATTTTTACTTCACAAGATGGTGTGCCATCTCTGAAACTTTTGTAGTTAATCTAGATAGAATAAAAAAGCTTTTGTTTTATTTCCAATGTTTTGTTTTTGCAACCTCTTTAGAGATTTCTATGCTATAAGTGTTGTAACTCAGATAGTATAGAAGAAAACAATACATCGTAATGTCAATATGGACCATCGGGTAATGTTCTTTGTCACATTACTGTTAACAGAAAATATATTGTTAAAATAGATACTGTAGAACCCTTTTGATACAAAATAATGTAAAAATGAAATTGAAGATACTGGTCCAAAAGATCTCTTGTTCGTAACAGGTATTTTGTTCCTTCATGTAAAATGCTTCTTCATGCTTCCTAATTTTATACCTTATCTTAGGTATTTTTAATATTATTCTAAATATAACAGATGCAGGTTTAACCAACTTATAGATAAAGCAATTACTTTACAACATCATATATCTGGTATCTTCAGCACTGAAATGAAACTCAGCTAATCTCAAGATGAAGGAATTACTTTAAAATGTGTTATCTTTGACATCCCCAACAATGAAAAGAGACATGGCCAATTTTAAGATGGAGGAATGACTTTCAGTGATATAAAAAAATGAAATGAGACTCCAACAGTATTATTACAGCTCATTGATAAAGGTTGATGCTAAAATTGTGAGTTAGCATTTTGTTTTGTTTTTCCCATGACCAATTGCCTTGCAAATTTCCTGCATGTGTTAAAAAAACAGAATTTACTACTTGGATAAAGCTTAGCTAGTTGGTTAACTGTCATTCATCATTCTAATAATTACCTCCAGCACTATTTTATATTTTATTGCTAAATTGATGAACTGTGGAAGTAAATCTGTCAAGTGTTATAGAGTAAATTCTTTACTGTAGATAGATATCTGTGACTTTTTGCAATAAATGTCAACAATAAACAGACAGTACACACAATCCACTTATTTTAAAATGATACATTCAAAAGAAGTCAAACTTGTGTACAAAAATTCGTTACACTGTCGGTTATCACAGTTGTATCCAGAGCTTTAAATAATTGTCTCTTTTTTTTTGTCAAAGTCCAAACAAGCAGGTTCAGTTACTTTAGAACACTCTTTTACAAGACAAATTCTCCTTTACTCTGTTGTTACAATACAATGCCGTGACACTTACTTTAAAATCACCACTATAACTCTTGGTTACCACAGTTGTATCCATAGCTTTATGTAATTGCCTCCTTATTTGTCAAAGTCCACACAGACAAGTTCATTTATTTTATAACACCCTTTGACAAAACAAATTCTTCTTCTCTGTGTCTGTTATTACAATACAAGCTGTGAAACTCATTTTAGAAATTGCCCATTATGTAATGAAACTTGTTATAACTATCACTTGTAAAATAATTAATTTTTAACACTTGTTATGAAAACTAAATAATCATTGAATATTAAATCCCTAAATAAATTAAATAATAACTCTTAAACTGGACATTCTTGTATATCCAGCAAACTCATATAAATGTTATTATGATTTAATTACTCTAAAAATTTCTTAGAAAAACTGACATTTGTATTATATTACAGGTCCAAACCAGTTAATTTTTTGTTTGTTTACTGTAGAGTCATGGCCACCAGAAAAGAGCTCACCATACAACAAACCAACTGTGTGTACCTCAAGAATTCAGAATGATCAAGGATCACACCCCCATTCCAAAGATATTCATGGAATTATTTGCAGTTGTTTGTATCGAAACAAGTCACTATGTGTGTTTTGTCAAGTGTGGCAGTGGTCCTGATTCATCTTGGTGTTTCTTTGACAGTATGGCAGATAGAAAAGGTAAGACGAATTTTAGCAAATGTTCTTTGATTATTGATAAGTTTAGCAAAAACATACAGGTTTAAACACAAAATACTTAATTTTGCTGCTAATCCAAGTTAGGTTTTTTATGCTTCTTATATTGACCTGCTAGTAAATCACATGGACTATTACACTGCCTACTAATCAGTAAATAAACACCCACTCCAGAAAGAATGCCATTTTTTATTACAGAAACATTAAACACCTGATAAAAAATTTACCATTACTGTTTATCAAACCTGCATTTTGCAATATTTAAGACAGAAACATGATTATAAATTGTATTTACAAAATCTGAAATATGGGCCTTTAGTCTATTGATTGGCTGAGTAAAAAAGTGTTTGTGATGGAGGGGCCACCAAATACAATATGGAAGCATTTTGATTGGCATCATAAGATGATTATTTTAAAGTTTACCTAAGATAATTTAGAGATGTTCTCATGTTATAATGGGAAATCAATCATACACTGTTTTCTACGTTTAGAAGTACACATCATGTTTAATCGTAACCTTGTTGAAAATCTGTATAGCGTAACGGCTATAATAGTCAAAGCTTTTCATATAACGATTGTGATTAAAGTGAATGAAGACCTTCAATTAAGCTAAATGGGCAGATGAAATTTGGTGAAACATTACCAATTAAAGGAATATAACCCATATTTAAGGATCTAATGTTATATAATAATGGAAAGATATGCATCATCAGTTTTAATCCTGAAAATAGAAGGGAGAATCATGAACCATGAAAATAGTCTTGAGCACCACAATCTCTGTACTAAGAAAAGCTTGCACCTTCTATCACAGTCCTCATTTTATGAAGCATTCACCTCTTAACTCTATGTGAATGGGTATGGATCAAAGTGCACATGTAATGACCTATTACAGAGTTACATTCAAAATTTAATTAAACAACTTTATTATCAATGTATGTCAATACACTTGGCATCAAAATGAAGTTTATAATTCAAACTTTTAACATTATGTAAGTTTTTATTTCATAGCTTCAAAAGGAAGTATTTAAATAAATTCTTAATATTAACTTTTTTGTATCACGTGACACTTCTTCACTTCTTCTAGATTTTTTCTATTCCACAATTCTATTTTTTATTTTCTATTCCCATGAATTACACACACAATCTGATATTCTCAAACTGAAATGTAAACTTTTATCCTCCAGGTTTTTTGCGTTACTGAAATATAAACATATAAGTGAAACCCACATCCCATGCCCCTCCTAACACATCAACTCTTTCAAAAGATGTCAGTAATTCTCTCCAACAATTGCTATTGGATTATTTGTAACCAATTAAAAGAGAAAATTCTAATTTCTGATTTTTAAATTAGGCTAGATCTTTCAGCCAAATTGTTTTGAAAAATTTGGCCTCAATTTTGATGTTTCCCATTGTCTAAGTTCAGCTCAACCAGCTAATGGAAAATTTTAACATATTTATAGCTTAACTAGAAAGCCAGTTAAGCTATTGTAATTTTAGGACATCCTATGTTTTATGCTTGACAATAGTTTGTATTCTAAGTTGTGTATTTGAATTTTAAAAAAATGTGAGACAACACCAGCAATACAAAAAAAGAAAACTTTGTGGGTCTCTGGGACTTAGTTTTTAAGGGTACTAAGTACTGAATGTCTTGTTTTTTATTTGTTGTTATAAAAGTAATTAAAATGTAAAAATTAGAAACTTATTAGGTTAGATACAAAAATTAATTAAGAAATTTCTCTATGATGATGTAATTCAATACTTTGTGTACTATAATTTGTACTAAGCTCTTGCCAGGTGATTTATTGCTTTGTTACACTAGTTGAGTAGTTATACATGGTTCAAAGAGCAATAAAACTAAAAAATTAAATGAAAACAATTGTTAACAAAGTAGAGGGCTGAAGCCATTAGGATAAATAACTGTAATTTTCTGTTACAATCTCCTGTCATCCTAGAATAAAATTTACATAGTTTTATTTCATATTTTTCAACTTTCACTACAGTTAGTGTTAGGGCAGAGAAAATAAAGTGATAAATGTATAAAGTTTTACAAAAACACTTGATATTCATTTAGGCAGGGATGAGAACAAGAGATGAGAAAAATTATTGGAAGTATGAGGGCTGGCAGGTCCCCATTTGGGGACAGGGGCAATGCCCCAGTGAGGGTTTCTATTACTCATCTAAATCTAAATGGGGTTTCAAGCTATTTCATGGAGTCAACTGCTTAGAAAATCATAATGAAACTTGTCATATTATCTTCACCATAAATGACCAAGTACTGGTGGAATATGGGAGGTGGAAATTATATACATACTCCATTATACATGTACATCTAGATGCAGTGTAAATTTTGTCCCACAATAAAGCTGGTAGCATTGGAATTGTTCGGATCTGCTGGCTCATAACAGATATAATGGTAGCTTCTTCGTCTACAGTAGGTGGTTCCTTTTACATTTGTTGTGCAAAATGATTTTTATGTGATAGGTAGAAGTGGTGGCCTGCACTGACTTTTTGTGGCATTTTCACTGAACACGGTCTTTTAATGCACTGATACCACGTATGCCATATTTAATAGTAGCATTTTGACAAATACAGCTAATTGCTAAACCAGAAGTATGGATTTTGGAAAATATTCACTGAGCACATGTCGCTCTTTCACTATCTCGCCCTTTCATGTTTTTAAGTGTGATTTCAACACCTTTATCCATCCATGTCCACCTCCAAGTCTCTATACAATGTTTATCAGTCTCTCGAACTTTATGATGCTCCTTGTTATCAATTCTTTTCAAAACTCAATCTATTTTAACAGATATTATCAATGATCGTAAATTACAACATTGTTTACTCCATAATGCACATAAATTAGAAATGATTCATAATTGAATTTAATGTAAAAATCATCAATATTGGCTGTGGTTTTGCTAGATAGTAGATAGGGACAGTGGGAATCTCGTTAATCCATTCATGCCAGATATAGCTCGCCGTTTACTGTGTGATGCTTACATGTGTATGTATCAAAGCCCTGATATCATGATGTATCGATGATAGAGTTGTACATCTTTATCCACGCTGATTTTTCCAAGCCCGTTCCTTGGCTGTGGTTTCGCTAGATAGTAGATAAATTAGAAATGATTCAGAATTGAATTTAATGTAAAAATCCTCAGTAAAGCAAATCTATAAGCATGTACACTTTAGTCAAAGACTGTAAAAAATAGATCAAAATATAAAAACAAACCAAGTTTAGGACTTGCAAAGACTTGCAGCAGCTTCCCCCTCCCCACCCCATTGAAAATTTTCTCCTTGAATTTACACTGTTCACAGGAATGACCCATGAGATACAGAAATCCTTTGGAAACTGTGGATCCATGTGAAATTCTCTACCATGTTTAGGAGGTTTTAGAGATAATATAAATGAAGTATAAAAACTGTAAAACAGAAAAAGGTTTTATTCTTAACTTAAACTAGTTGGAGTCTGAGTCATACTGATTCAGTAAATTCACATACAAATCTTTAGTAGAAATACTTTATTAAAACTTTTGATTTTCAATGTGTAACATACTTATATTATTTACTAAAAGCTTACTAAATTTCATGGAGATACACTTAGTAAATTAAGAGTTTTATTAAACCTTACTTTTCCAGTTTGGGGTCAATCCATTGGACCAATTCCATGCACATAGGGTTAACAATCACAGTAACAACTTTTCTGGAACTTTCATGAGAACAGTTCTTATAATTTCTCACTAACAGTCATGACAACAGTTTCCAGTAACATTGTTTTTTCACTTAATAAAGAATATTTTCTGTTTTTCTAGGTGAGCAGAATGGATATAACATACCAGAAGTAATTCCATTTCCTGAGCTACACTGGTGGCTGTCAGAAGAAGGAAAGAAATTCCTTCTCACTGCTAAGGATGACAAAATTTTGCCAGATATAGCTCGCCGTTTACTGTGTGATGCTTACATGTGTATGTATCAAAGCCCTGATATCATGATGTATCGATGATAGAGTTGTACATCTTGTGTACTATGTGGTGTCTTTACCAGTGCTGATATCATAACATAACAAAGAAGGAAAAAGTGCACTGTGTTTGATGTAGGTGTATACCAGTCCTTATTTCATAAATGATGGTATTGTATTGTTTGTTTACATTGAGATGCCTATACCAAAGTGCTGATATTAAGGAGAGAAAAATAGTGTGCTTCATTTGATGTATGGTGCTTATATGAGTATAAGACATTTTACTTAAAATATAATGTGTACAAAACTGTACTGTAAATAGGCTCTTTATTTATATCCAACAGAAATAAATTAGTATGTTTATGTACACTAGAGCTCAGACATAATATGGTTTTTTTGGTCAACCATGGTGTTTATTTGAAACTTTACCACTACTGATAACTTGATGCACCAATGGCTTATGAGTCCCACTTGTTTATATAAAACTCATTACATTATTAAGTAATGTATAGAATATATAACTGCACCTAATTGTTCACATTATGGTTTATTGATGATAGTTAATACTTAATGTATACATTTCTACTGCAGCTTTAACTTCATGATGTTTTCTGATAAAAGAGCACTCTTTCACTATCTATGTACCACAGTCCTGTTGTCTTAAAGTACTGTGACAAGTGGATACTCTTTGAATACATAGTGCATATATATGCATATCATCATGAAATATAGAAAGGTATTCATGTCCCATGGTAACAATACAAGTTGAGTGCCTTGACCATACAGTTCCTTCTTCCCCAACTGATTGAGTTCTTTATGATGGCCCTGATTATGGAATATTGTTCTACAGCATAATATCCACTGCAGACGACTCTTACACAATACACTGAGGTTACTGTTGTCCTACCTCTTCTTTACATGCCTTCCAAAGTTCATCAAATATGTGTGCATAATGACTTCTGAGCAACCAAAAAGCACAAAAGTCAATGGGAGATGTCTGGAAATGAAATAACATGAATTACTTTTGATACTTGCAGAGGAACTGTCATGTCGACTTGAAAATTTGGCTGGATGTTTTGTTATTGCCATCCAATCCATACAAACTTGGTATTTCAGTGCAGTATAGTAGTGTCAGCATGTTAGCCTAGTAGTAAACAGTATTCATCATCTTGGCCTTTTGTTTTGGCTCTCTGGATGTTTAACCTAACCATTATAGCTGTAACCTGCAACCATCATAAATACCTATGAAAACTGTTCATAACACACTCTTTACCATTTTTTAAATTTTGTATCACTGGCAGGTCAATAATAAATTTCTTAGATATTTGCAAACACATACGTAGACACATTTCACCCATTGTGATGACATGTTTCCATTTAACTAAATGCTAAGGGAGAAGCTTATGAGTTTGTGTTACATTTGTACATGTAAATCTGTGAATTATTCAGTTTACAGTTTAAGGGAGGTTTTTTACTTTAGCAGCGATGGACTGTTGTGTTTTGGAGTTATTTCTGGAAACAAGTTATCTTCACTATCTCCAGTTTGTGTGATTAGTTGCTGGTCATAGATTAGCCTATTTCCATACTGGTACCATACCTTTTATTACTTTAACCTTTATGCTTTGAAATTGTTAATATTAAAATTTCATGTCTTGTATCCTTTAATAGTTGTGGGATAGGAAACTTCATTTTGGAAAGCCCTGTCATGGAACTTTCCTAGAAAGAGTCAATTTTAAGTGCCATCTGCAGTTCAAATCACCATGCTTCAACTGAATTGCAATAAGATAGTCAGAGTTTATACCCTGTGTAGTCACAGGCTGTGGAGATAACCAGGGGCAAGTTGATTGGATATAGTTTGATTACTTAGTGCATATATATGTGTGTGTATCAGTTCTAATATCTTAAAGTAATAAAAGAGCACTCTTTGATTATGTGGTACATGCATGTGTATATCAGTCCTAATATCATGATCTATTGTGACAAATTAGCAGTCTTTCATCATGTGATGCTTGCTATGTGCACCAGTTCTGATATTGTGAGATATCGTGATAGTAGAGCAATCCTTGAATATGTAGTACATACATGTATGTACCAATCCTGATACTGTGATGTAATAAACCAGCATCCTTTGACTGTGTGCCAGTCCTGATATAATGTATTGTGAAATTAAACAATCTTTGAATATGTATACCAAAGTCTTGACATAACAGATGTACTGATATTGCAAGAGAGCTCTTTGATTGGGTTATACGTGCATAAAGTAGATTTATAAAGTTATTGTGTATTGGACAGAAGGTTACGGGTTAATGCATGGTGTGTGATTTTCCTGAAACCAAAATGTAATTAGGATAAACAAATGCTTTCTTATTATTGTAGTTCCCATTCATATTTAAAGTAGTCCTGATGGTAGAAAAGTGGGATCATTAGGTATGGATGACAATAAGGCTCCAATTGATTATTGTAGTTCCTATTTATACTTAAAGTAGTCCTGGCAGTAAAAAAAATAGTAGTGAAGTGGAATCATTTGGTATTGATAACAAGACAGCATTTGATAAGAGTAATATCTGCCAGATTTTAGATTAAACACTGCTATTAGATTAATATGGTATGTACATTGACATAATCAGGTATTGAAGGAAAAGTACATAGAGAAGTTTTTGAATATGTAGTACATACATGTGTGTACCAATCCTGATATTGTGATGTAATAGACCAGCATCCATTGACTGTGTGCCAGTCCTATTGTTAGGTATTGTGAAACTGAGCAATCTTGGAATATTTAGTACTTTAATATGTATACCAAAGTCTTGACATAATAGATGTACTGATATTGCAAGTGTTCATTGATTGGGTTATACATACATAAGGTAGATTTATAAAGTTATGGTGTATTGGACAGAAGGTTACTGGTTAATGCTTGGTGTGTAAGTGATTTTCTTGAAACCAAAATGTAATTAGGATAATAAACAAATGCTTTCTTGTTATTGTAGTTCCTATTCATACATTTACACAGTCCTGATGGTAGGAAAGTGGATAAGAGTGCTACATTATTGATACCATGATTAATATGACACTTTTTATTAGTGTGTACTGTATATTGATATTTTTTATGAATAATGCTGTTTGAGCAATGTTGCCTTCTTCTGTTTGTTCCACACTGCTAATGTTTGGATATATTCAATTTCATGAATGATGCTGTTTGAATGTGCATGCTTACAACACAGTTGTATTACCATATAGTGTGGTGAATAACACCAATTTTCTAATATATGCTACTTTATGCTATACTTACCACCATTTTGATGAATGGTGTTATTTGTGTGTACCATTTATCATATGACATATTGCTGAAGTCATCTAATAAATGTGTGCTATTTTCATGTATATACTACAGATCATGACACACTGATGAGAGAATACTGACTTTTAACTGATATCCAGTACCAAAAAATACATTCTACAGCCTTAATATTCACTTTTGGTTGCTGTGATTTAAAAGTAACTTGTGATCAGATAAACTATCAGTACAACTGAAGAATCTACACAAGTTAAACCTCTTTATGTTTAAAACTTTTATACACTTACATTCAATCCCTATTGTAATACGTAATTATAAACTGCAATAAAAAGCACTAACAGGAATCCTGTGTAATGATTAGTTCAGGTAAAGTTTTGTTGGTGTGTGTGTGTGTGTAGATATAGACAGATAGATGCATGGGCCCTCTTGTAACATTTATTAAGGAACTTCTGTAACTTGAGGTAGGGAATATTAGTAACATGAAATAGGGACCTTTTGTAATGCATAGGGAACTTTTGTCACAATTAAGAGGGTGTATTTGTAACATATAGGGAACTTTTGTCACTATAAAAAGGGCATATTTGTAACATACGAGGTACTTTTGTCACAATTTTAAGGGCATATTCATTTACCTGTAGGGGTCTTTAATTACTGCTTGTATGTTATGCTCAAGTCATTTTATTTTCTGATCTGCATTACTAGAAGTATACTGTTTAATGTTGCTCTATCACCCAAAACAACTACTTAATCTCTCAAATTTACATCAAAATTAGATGAAATTGTCTGTTTTGAGTTTGCTACGTGGTCAAAGGAGCACCTTTACTTCTTAATGTTTATTCTTGAATGAAAAGTATATCTTGAAAATATCTTAATATTCAAATCACTTTTGCAATATTTGCAACAAAATTTTACCTCCTTTTTCCATAACGATTGTATTACTGTTAATTGTTTAAATCTTGATACTTGACATTTAAGTGTATGATATGCAGTTCAGTTTAACATGTTATAAATATTGTTTGTTTTTGTTTTGAATTTCATGCAATGCTACACGAGGGCTATCTGCACTAGCCGTCCCTAATTTAGCAGTTTAAGACTAGAGAGAAGGCAGCTAGTCATCACCACCCACCGCCAACTCTTGGGCTACTCTATTACCAATGAATAGTGGGATTGACCGTCACATTACAATGCCCCCACAGCTGAAAGGGCGAGCACGTTTGGTGTGACGGGGAATCGAATCTGCGAGTCGAGCACCCTAACCACCTGGCCCTTTTTTAGCCATATTATAAATATGTAATCTAAAGTCATAATATTGGTCATGTGGCATGATAAACTCACAAGCTTAGGTTGTGTTTGAATTTTGAAAAAAAACATAATACACATCTAAAGATATGACTTACACCATTACACAGTTTTATTTATTTTTTCATTTCTCATAGTCCTTGCAGACCGTTGAGCCGATGGCAGAGCAAGATCTGCCATCGTTTCTAAAGCTGTTTCTTACGTCAAGGATGCAACCCACTTGACAGCCTTCCCTCTTTGAAAGGACGAGCATGTTTGGTGTGACAGGGATTCGAACCCGCGACCCTCAGATTGCGAGTTAAGCGCCTTAACCACCTGGCCATGCCGGGCCAGTTTTATTTATACTAGAAAAAATAATTTCATTAGTTGCCGTAAACCAACTAGACATAAGTTTAAAATTTTATTAAACACATCAAAATTATCCTATTGAATACAACAGTATTAGCTTTATTGAAGAGACTTTTCTTGCTTTTAGTAAACTATTTTTTTAAATTCAAGGTAATATTTAGTACAAATCATGCAAATAAAAAAAATAGTAACTGAATTCAAAATAACTAAACAATTTTATTAGTGTCACTACAATGGCAAAAGTTATTTTAAGAAATTATTTCTTAAGTTGAAGTTTTTTATCTTCATACTTCAGCCTTGTTAAAACCTCCTTTCAGGACTACAGCCTAAAGCTTCCTTGGTGCAGTCTTGAGAAATGGGTCCAGAAGAAATAATGTTCTTACACTTTTCTAGTACAACAGAGGCTTCACTGGGACTGAAGAGACCTTTAACAGTACTGCTTCTGGAAGATGGTAGAACTACATCTGACATAGATCTCTCTTCATCTTACTGATGTGGTCATTGAGTGTTTCATCTTCTTTTGGTAACTGGACATCACTCTCCTCTTGCCCACCTTCCTGCAGATCTCTAGAATAACATTCTTTTCACTGTTAATCTGTCATATATTTTTTGTGCACCAGTGTTTGCTAGTAGTTCACTGGATTTGATTTTTTCCCTTACCACGTCATAGGTGACTGTGAGACTTTATCTTTTCTTCAAACAGAATGTGGACAGTTTCTAGAAGCTGATCAGTCCAAATAAATCTCCCAGATCAGTTAACTGAAATTAACGCCTGTTTGTCCTGAGACGTGGAGGGTTGGCATAAATCAGGTTTGTCAGATGACTCATCTGTCATGGCTTTCTCACCTCTCATGACTTGAGACAACTGCTTTGCAGCTGCAACAGATGTCTGCTCCCTCTCCACCAACCTTTAGCACTTACTAGCAGTTTCAACTCTGTGGCACATTAAATCTGCCAAGTTTTCTTTCATGTTTGGGTGATTCTGGTGTATGACTGAAACTGCAGTTTTTCGAATAAGTGTACAAGTGATGTCTCCCCCCAGTCCAGCTTTCTTCCAAGCTGACTGAACAGCTCTTGAAACTTGTCCACTCTGCAGCTTTTCACCATTCCATGTTAGAAACACAGAACTTGATTTATCATCCTTTCCCTTAATAACACGTGAGCAAACTTATTGTACAATGATTGACAGCCAACTAAAAAAGCGTTTTGTCAAGAATAACCTTGTCAGGACCCTGGGTATAAGCAGTCTTGTGCTGAGTTACTGAGATCATGAAGTATTCATCTACTTTGTGAGCATTCATAAACTTCCTCATTGTCATATTTGCAAGTACCCAAGACCTGTTTGCATTTCCAATGACTATTTGTGTTAAAAAGAAATTATGAATTAGAACATAATCAACATGTGAGACAGGTACAGCTGTAGGATTAGACGAGCCACCAATGAGTTTGATAGCCATTAAGACTGGCTCACTCTTTTCAAACACTGCCACTTTCTGTGGGGTGATAATATTTTGCAAGTCCTCATCAATCTTTTCTAATCTTCTTTTGGTGAATGCTTTTCTTTAAAAAGAAATCCACTTTGCCACACGATCATTCATGGATTGGACTTCTTGCTTTGCTTTTTGCGAGATCTTGGTTATTTATTCTGTAAATAGAAAGTTGTGCTAGTGTGTTAAACTAGCAAGATAGGATATGACAGTTCCTGGTAAGAATTTTCTTTCAGTTACATATTTGTTCAGAAATATGTCCCTGAGCAGTATTTTGTTCAAGTGAGATGTTAATTTTTTGTTCTCTCCGTCAATTGCCAGAAGAATAGTTTTGACTTGAAAAGTGTGTTGCATTCTTCATGCCACCATCTGCAGATTGTTACCATTTCTCAAAACTAAGAAATATAAACTCTAGCCTTGAGCTCCTTCATTTTCATCAGCTATCTCACTGTTTTCATTATCTTCATCTTCCTCAGATTCTTCTTCCACGGTCTTGTCTTTTTCACCCTCATCAATTTGTTGGTTTTCATAATCCTTATTTCTGTACAATATTTCCACATTTGAAGTCATTTCCTGTGTGGGCCACTTTTTAAAGTTTTTCTCATTATCATCTCTTTCATTCATACCTGTATTTATTTTGCTTTCATGTTTTCTCCTCTTAGCAGTAATCAGTAGAGGTTTGAAAAACTCAGATATTTTGTCAATCTTATGAAACTTAAATAAATGAGGAGGCAACCACTTCACTACTGAGTAACATCTCGTAACAGGATATGGTCTTGTTGATGGTAATCCTTGTTATTCTTTGAATGTTGCACTTTTGAAAAGGTGTAGGGTTTTCTTAATTCATGTTGTTGTAAGGCAGTATGTGCTCTTTCTTTCTCCCATTTATGATTTAATCTTAAATGGCATGGCAACTGAATTACTTTTGCACCACAATTTCTCATGGGGCATTTCTTCTTTAACCTTTTTGTCTTCACTGCCATTATTCTGAAGACTATTATTCTCTCTCTTATTTCTTGAGCATAACTGCATTGCTTCTTCAGTACTGTACATTCTTCTCTTTTTGATTGTTTTTCTGTTGTCATCTTCAAATAATTCAGAATCTGAAGACAACTCTATTTCAGGTCGATAGGGTTCATCACTGTCATCAAAACTTGAGTAGTCCTCCATTGTTTGCATTAAGCAGAATGCATCTAAAAAGAAAAATATATTAATACATATTTTAGTAACTGTTATTAAAAAGTTCATTTATGTGTACTGTCATAATTTAAATACGATGACCAAAAACTATTGTAAATCAAACAAGCTGTACAATTTGATTAAACTTACAGATACACTTATATTTATGTTACGTCTCTGTATGTTTGTTTGTTAATTCTTACAAGATACAAGTCCTTTCTTTATAAAACTTGTTTATTCTTCCTCAATACAACTTTGTAATGTACTTAATTTTCACAGTTACACACACTATAGTTCACAACAATTCACTCACTTTCTATCGCGCTTAGACTTAATTGTCCGTCCCCGCAAACTATAGTTCCGATCTCTGTGT